TTGTTATTAAATGATAGAATTCACTAAAAGTATATAAATATGTAATAAATAAAATAATTTTGTGATAAAAATGATAAATGAGGTTTATCCATTGTCAATACATTGGTCATTTTCATTTACACCTGAAAAAACAGTCAAAAAACATAATTTTTGTGACTGGGCGGGACACATTTTGAAAAGAGCTGAAAAACATGTTTGTTTAAATTTCTATTTTTTTTTAAGTTAAACTATTCTTTTTTTGGTTTATTCTTTTTGCATTATTTAAATAGATCATAAAACAATAGAAACATACAAAAATATTGATTATTACTCAATATTATACAGAAATAAAAGCAATAAGTGGACGGGGTTACCCGACTCTCCCCTATATTTAAACGATGCAATTTAATGCCTGTAAAAAGTAAAACAATATTATTTGAAGCTAATTCTGCACAAACAATGAAAACTTTTCAATCAAGTGTTGTAGAGAACTTCAAAAGTAATTATTATTGTTAGTAAAACCAACCAACTTTCAAATACTCTTGGGGAGATTTTATTATAAAATTAAGTTTGTAAATGTACTTTCATGATTCTATTTCTAATGACACACGTGTATCGTTTAGTATTTTAATCATTAAAACATTTGAGTAATCTTCACAATTTTCCTTCCACAAAAACATGTCATTCTGGATGAGTTCTTTTTTTTCTCCAGACAATAATATCTATAGTTTTTATTTGTAAATAAACAATCTAAAAGTTGTCTCTCATTTTATCCCCGTTTTTAAGAACCAGAGCATTCTTTTTAAAAGGATCGTTTTTATTTAACGAAAACTAATGTCACGTGTCCATAAAATATTCATTTCGTGGTACCATGTAAAAATAAGTTAAGAACAACTATAAAATTTAAACTATTAAAAACCTATTCTCATTGGATAGAGATATTAGATTTTTCTTTCCTCCAAAAATTTATAATTTTTATAAGTTCTGATTTTAATATTCTTGGTGAAATGAAGATTATGCATACCTTGTGTTGCAAATAATAGAATAGTAAATAATTAGTTTTTAAATAAAAAGAGATTGTAATTTTAAAAATAATTAAAATTTACTCTTAATATATAGTTTTAAATTTAGTGTTAAAAAAAAGTATTTGGTCCATATTTGATGCATGTAAGCCCGAAGAAGTGGAGAATTTAAAAAGAGGAGAAAGAAAATTTTAATGATATTACAGACAAATTATTTTTGATGATTAATTCTAAACCAGATAGTTTTTCAAATAACACTCTACCTGTAGTTCAAAGTGTGCCAAATTCTAGTTTAAATGTATTCTCTGACCCACACTCTCAGTGCCAACCTTTAATGGCACAATCGAAAATTGTTTTTTAAGATATATCTGTAGCCAATGTAATAAAAAAACTGTTCCATTTAGCTTCCATGAAATTACAATATTTTAATGCGAGTTGTTCTCAAGAAGCCCTACCAGAAATACAACAAATTTCGAATGCTAACTGTGAATGAATAAATAACAAAAGAACGCGCAAATATCAAAAAGTTTTTTGAATCACCCAAATATTTGTAAAATATCTTAAAAATGGTATTCTCTTACATCTTACGAATGAGCGCATTCGAATTTTGGATTCGCTGGATTATAAAATAAGCGAATGGTTGTTCTAAACGAAGTTTGCTTTTTAAATGAAATAATAGGTAGTTGAGAAGCGTTCAACCGAGAATCAGAATCTATTTTTCTGTATCTAAATCGTAATAGCTCGACAGTTATTTTCAGGATAGGTTAAGGACTGTCTTCAGAACATTACCAAGCATGATATCCGGACGGTGGTCAACAGTTGGTATAGTGTGAAGTCAGCAATCAAGTTATTTTTAATATCAAATCAAATTAATGAAATAAAATATTCTTGGAATTAAAAAATGAAAATTTAGACACTATTTCAGGGCGGGGGGGGGGAACTAAATTTATTGCTGTAAAAATTTAGCATTTTTATATACTTTTTAACAAAAACATAGACTTCAATTTAATTCTCACAGAAATGAAAATTATCATTGACCTTAAATAATTATATGTGCATAAGTAAACTGATTCACATGGTATCTTGCAAGTAAATTTCTTTTTTAAAAAAAAAGATAGTTTCGAAACATAAGAGAGTGTTTACATGAGGTTGGAGTATACAAACGGAATATTTCTGATATTTTATCAATCAAAAATTATCTGCTTTGGCAGGAAGGAAAAAATGTGTTGCATTTTCATAAGTAGTTACAAGACAAAACACAAAATTGTTAAATTTAAAAAAAAAAAAAGGTTCTTATGGTGGAAAAGTAATTTCTTAAAAATTGCAATTAAAGTAAATATTAACTTTTTATTCAGCATCTTTAACATTAGGACAGGATGAAGGAATATGCTTATTCGAACTTAGTCTTAGTTTCGTTACCACTATTAGAGTTTTTTTTAATAATTACAGGTACGCAAACACGATGTTTAGGTATTTATCAAGGCTGTTGTAGACTTCTACAATATTTTAAGTTCTACTCACCGGGCCAAAATTGTTTAGAAACACAGGCGTCACATTGCAAGCGTGTTGGTGTTTGCTCTTCACAAAATATTTTTTTTCTATGGATAGTGAATTTAATAGTATTAATTATTAAATTCTAATATTAAACTATTATTACATTATACAATATTATTCTAATTAAATAGTAATAGTATAATTTAATAAGAATAATAGTAAATAAATAATGAATTAATTTCTTTTTATTTGCAGGATTTAAACTAGGCACATTCAGTTGAAAAGAAAAATGAACAAAAAATCAAACCTGGAATTTAAACGTAAGAATAAATAACTATTACTCTACAAAAAAGAAAAAATCTTACGATTAAAATTTGACCCATTTTTGACTAGTTTAAGTGCTCAAATTTTCAACTGGTTTTCTGTACAGGATGAAAATACAATTTTCAAACGCTTTTTGACCTTTATTCGCAGAACATATCACCGATAAAAATTATTATTTTTGGCCTGAACAAGCCAGGAGACTCAAAACTGAAATGTTGAAGAAAAAAAAAATGAATAAAAATGTATATGTATTTAAAACATCAAGTTTGATCAGTAGACTAAAAATGGATAATGATTTTATAAAAATTTTCACCTATAACAAAAACCACAAAATCAAAACTTCCCAATATACTTCTATCAACATTTAAAATTTCACTTTCTTCGTTTTGGTGCCAAAAATTAACGTTTCTTTTTCAGTACACTTGTCAGACATGTTTAAAAACATTTCCATTTTCGATTACACTTTTTAAAGTACTTTCCTTAATGCTCTCCTTTAAAATATGCACTCTCATTGCATGTTTTATTAATTTAAATAAATTTTTCATCTCTAGCAAATCGAAGAGAAAAACATTTAATATTTAGATAAACAAAATAAGTTTGATAACATTATATTTAATGAAACATTAATGAGAATAAAATTTAGATGCCTATGAACACCTCTTCTCAATGCTAACTCAGAAGCAAATTTGTTATATCGTTAATTAGTTGAAGTTTTTTTCCAAATGTTTTAAATCATGAAAACCAATTAAGACACTAAGAACATTGATCGGAGGAAAAAGCTGAGAATTTACGCCGGAAAAAAGTAAGTAGAGTGCAGAATAAAGATTTCAACCTAAATAAATTGCTCTTATGATCAGATTTTCACTAACTAGGTAAAGATCATAATGATTTAAACTTGCGACCTCAATTATGTTAAGTGACAAATACTTATCTATCAATAATAAGCATAATTAAAGGTCACTATTTTGAACCATTACGATCAAAACTCTGAAAATCTGATCGTTGAAACAAAAGACACGGTTACTTCATTTTTCGCACAGCTGAAACAGAAATTAATTTAATTTAAAAAATATATTTTATCGAAATTTAATAATGTTCCCTCAATTAAAAATTTTACTGTAACCACCTTTAATCAATCGAAGCAAATTGCTAGTCTACCAAAAAATCCAAAAACAAAAATTAACATACATAACATATTTATTTCTATCTAATTTACAAAGCAAATGAAGTTGAAGCTTCATGCCACAACAATCTTACAAAATTGCCACTTTTACAATAGTATACCGAACAATTTAATACAATAAATATATCTAAATACAATATGCAAAATATTTACAACCACTTGAAAATTTAAATTGAAAAACTTGAAATAGCTAACTATAAAAACATATTTTACAACAAATTTTCCCTATCATAAGACCGTAAAAAGGTAGAACCAGCGTAAAAGAACAAAGCCATTTCTGAGTTTCACTAATATCTAAACTTCTCAAATTCTTAAAGAATTATTTAACAACTTTATTGATACACATGAGAAATAACGCGATCTAATAGTTTAAAATTTTTATAAGTTCTAGCCTTCCTGGAGGACTTTGCTTAAACTAACCCGCACTTGCGTTACATGAGAGGAAAACCGCCCACGGTTAGCTTGACGGTAGTGGATTCTAAGTCGCGATCCGTCTACCACTGAGGATATTTTACGCCAGCACTTTGATCTGTGCAAGCTGGCAGAACTGCTATCAATCAGCCGTGGATGGGATTTGAAATTTAGTCATCTCATTGGGAGGCAAGTGTCCTAGCCTTTAGTCTCATTCACCAGAAAGTTCATAAAACTTCGTCGACAACACATAATCTGGAGACTAAACATTCAGTGCGACTTTCATTTGCGCTTTAAAAACAGCTTCGAAAAACAAATAAAAATAAAGTTCATCGTCTCACCCACTAGCGTAACAAAAAAGTTATTGACACGTTCTTTGTGCTGGTAAAATTTTTCCATCCATTCACTTGTTTCCTCTTCAAGTCATTTGATTATTTCTCGAAACCCTTCATCCTGTGTGGTCATAGCATCTCAAAACTTACACATCAGCCACAAATCAGGAATACAGACAATCCTGAAAAATACAAAAGACAAAAACAGTACCTTGGCACAAAAAGGAAACAATCTAATCCAATGAAGTTGAAAAAAATATTTACAAATCAATATTTTAAATAAAGTATGTCATTGAAGAACATGAAGGATATACCTACTGTAATACATTTGTACTTTCAAACATCAATAGATCAATTTAATTTAGAATTATCCATCGTACAGTTACAAAAGTTCAAAACATTTGCTTTTCATATATTAAAAGCTTCTAAATATTGGTGAAACTACTTATTTGAGCTTGCAGTCAAACAATTAGCTAAATATATAATTTAAAACAAATTTAGAGAAAAAAAGATTAGCTGGTATATCTATAATGAATTTAAACGAAGTCAAATTAAAAAATTGTAACTATCAGATGAGTACTTTTTATAAAATCCAATCACAAAAATCAATATTATTTACTAAGTCAATGTTGATAACTAAGAGGTAAATAAACACACTGAAACCTTACTTCATTAATTCAAATTGGAAAAGCGCACGAGGCAGCTGAAACCAAATTTGTATTATATAAAATTGAAATAAGACCACAAAAAAATCTTAATTAAAAATAATTTAAAATAAAATATAAATGTGTGTTTGCAAAACAGTACTTCATCAGGAGACACACTGCCTGCAAACACACAGGAGCCTTTCTGTTAGTGGATTTAACCCTAACTAACTGTTACTGTTAGCTTTGGTTAAATTTTAGTTTGGTTAGTTTTGGTTAACAAAACTGGTAGTTTTGGTTAAATCCACTAACAGAAAGGCTCCTGTGTGTTTGCAAGCAGTGTGTCCCCTGATGAAGTAATGTTCCGCCAACACACATTTATATTTTCATTTTTATTGTAATTATTAAGAATTTGTCTTATTTCTACTTTTAATATTAATATTCATGCTCTATTTGGAATTCTAATACAAAATTCAGTTTTATTTCCAACCGTTTGTACGAACGTATCGTAGAATATAATTCATCTTAAATTCAGAATTTCATATTTTCCCCACAAATTAGGATTTCTATGAAAGAAATATTTTAAAACAGATTTAAGTAAAAAGCTTCAAGAAATTAGATGCAGATGTTTTAATTTTATCATTCCGAATGGACGTTAAAATTTTTATCCCCGATAAGCAACTTTTACAAAGACACCTTAAAATAAGCAAATTAAATAAAACTAACGTAACGCTACAACTCGTTATAACAATGAGCAGTAGTATTTTTTATTATTTTAAGCAAATTAAGCCTAGATGTGAAGAACTAAAATATTTATTAAATACTTGAAATTTAAAGAAATTTGAAAGTTCATTCAAGTTTTAAATGACGTTTATTTTAAAATTAAAAAAAAACTTTAGATGCGTCATTCAAAGATTATGTACAACTTCGGTAATTAAATCATTTTGAAAAGGAGGTTTTCAAAACTCTGGATCCAAAGTAAAGTTTTCAAAATAATTAAACTCTGCAGAATCCCTACAGAATTAGTTTTTAAAAAACTTGAAAGAATGCAACCATTTTTTATATTAATACAAATTTATCCGTATCAAATAGTCAAAAATTTATTAACTTCTACAAATGATAGATGGGGGTTAACTAGTTTTCTAGGAAAAAAAAATTCACGCATTTGTTGTTTTTTTTTAATTATTCCTAAACGGTACAATTTCGTATTGTGCAAACACTACACTTAAAAAACGTTGATCTTAATTCTACTCACAGCTACCGAAGCTTTTACCGTTACAGTTATAAACAATAATTATTCTTGCATTTAAAAATATTGACTCTTAATACATAGAGGCCCTGGCGTTAACAAATTTCGTAAAATTTTATATTGCGTTTAATAGCGTTACTCTTTTCAAAATTCTCTATTATATTGCATTCCTTCAAGAAGAATTCATTACAGTCAGTATGACAACAATGTACAAAATTGATAAGACCGTAAAGAGGTTGAACTAGCGTAAAAGAACAAAGCCATTTCTGAGTTTTACTAATATCTCTAAACTTATAAAATAATTCTCTAAGAATTTGAGAACTTTATAGTTACCTATGAGAAATAACGTGATCTAATAGTTTAAAACTAGCTTTCCTGGAGGACTTTGTTTAAACTAACCAGCATTTGCGTTACATGAGGGAAACCAGGAAAACCACCCACGGTTAGCTCAACGGTATGAGTCGCCATCAGTCAACCACAGGGGATATTTTACGTCAGCACTGTGGTCAGTGCAAGCCTCGTATCAACCAGCCATGGATGGGATTCGAAATTGAGTCATCTCATTTGGGAGGCAAGTGTCGTATTCCAGTGTTAATAGCAAGTGTCTCATTCCCAGAAAATTTACGAAACTTCATGGACAACACATAATCTGGAGACTTAACATTCAGTGCGACTTTCATTTGAGTTTTAAAAATAGCTTCGAAGATAAAAGGAAAATAAAGTTCCTCGTCTCACCCACTAGCTTAGCAAAAAAGAAATTGACACGTACTTTGTGCTGGTAATATTTTTCCATCCAATCACTTTTTTCCTCTTCAAATAATTTGATTCGTTCTCTAAGCCTTTCATGCTGTGTGGTCAAAGCACCTCACATCAGCCACCAATCAAGAATACAGACAATTCTGAAAAAATACAAAAGAGAAAAACAGTACCTTGGCTCAAAACAGGATAAATTAAACAATCTAATCCAATAAGGGAGAGAAAGAAACAAATATTTAAAAACAAACATTAGGGGCCGTTCAAATAGTACGTACATCCCGAAGGGGGGGTGAGGGGATTTGCTATTATGTACGGTTTTGTACGATGGGGAGGGGGGGGAGGTATTATACAAAGTACGTACTTTATAAACATACACCAAATTTAAATTTGACTTCATCCTACACACTCCTTAAGTAAATATTTAATTTTATTTAAAACATAATTATTTTAATTTTTATGAAAAGGGGGGGTAGACTAATAAAATGTACGTACTCTAAGGGGGGGAGTAAGACCTTATGTACGGTAATGTACGAAGGGGGGGAGGGGTTTAAAATTTCTCCATTTTTGTGTACGTACTTTTTGAACGGCCTCTTAGTACGTTTTTGAACAATATGAAGAGTATATCTGCTGTAATACATTTGTACTTTCAAACATCAATAAAAATTTAATTTACAGTTACTCATCATAGATTAGAGTTCGTACAGTTGCAAATGTTCAAACATTTTATTTTTCATATACTAAAATCTTCAAAATAAACATATATTTATTAGTGGCAAGATTTATTAAAACTTTCAAGCAATATTCTGGAGAATAGAGTCGTAATAGCCTTGTAGTGAATATCTACCACTACAAAAATATAATTCCAAAACACTAGTATGTAAGAAGGGTTAACTCAATTCTATTGTGGGATACCATTTCATAGATGAATGTTTACATTGTCGATAACTTCTCTCCGCATAGCCTAAAGCTTTACTAAAAAAACATTTAATTAAAGATACTTAAAGATACTTAATTGAATATTTCATTTTAAAAATGTATTGAACGTTAAGTGTTTGAACTTTATACCTGATTTAGGTACTTTCGATGTTTACAGTATTCAAGATACTTAGTATTTTTCCCGCTTTACAATAAAATATCTATGTTGGAATTGTTTATTTTAAATTTCTACATTGTCACTCCCATTTGAATGTTTGTCAAATACAGAAGAGTTATTCAATTAAATTTTGATTGATGAAACGAATAGGAAAGAAGTAAGAACAAATTAATATTTAATGACAACTGGTTTTTCAATTTGTTTAGGGTCATTTTAAAAGATACGGATATAATTTCATAAAATCTACTGTAATTAAAAGATCATACAGACTATTAAGAAATACATACAGTTAAAAGCTGGAAATTTTTCATTTCTATGAGTAATATCATTACAAGCAAATGACTTAACATATTAAAAATGAAAGTTAGAAATATCTTACTAATTTAAAAATATAGAGTGCTTTCCTAGTTTAAGTAGTGTTTAAACCAAAATTAGCTTATGCCTGCTTACTTATTTTCTTTTTCTCACAGAACTGAACGATTTTGATGACTAAATGGCTATAGGTTAATGGTTATGGGTTAACATCAAAAAGTAAAATTTTATAAATTTGTTATATGCCAACAAGAATTTTATCCCTTTTATTTGACCAAAATGTATTTTTAAAAACTCCGTTAAAGTAGTGAGAACTATTTATGTCGATTCTATGCAAACTAAAATTTTTCATTAAATCAAATAATTTAACTTTTCAGCGAAAATTAAGAGCTTTAGTATCACCTTGAATAGTTAATAAAATTTGGCTCTACAGTTCTTTGTAGACTACTATTTAAGAATCGCTCATTTAGATTCTACTCTTCTGGCCAGGGCATTCGATTCTTGTAAATCCTCGGTACAATGTACCAATCTTAATTTCAGCCTGCTTCTTATTCGAGTCAATATCGGCATCAAAATTTTGAATGTTAAGGACTATCGGCAAATGTCTCCAGAAAATTCTATGCAGAATGTACAGCTCATTTTAGGTGTTTAAGTGTAATGTATATAAATGGTACAATGAGACTTCTGAAAACTATTCCGAAAAATAGCTATTATATTGTCAAGCAATTTTAACATTGCCAGGTTTTCTGAACCCTATGTGAAAGCAGGTTAATAAAATTTTCAAACATTCTTCGCAAGTATTTCATTCTGATATTAAGCCAGATTTTCAAATTGAAATTTTGGTATCAAAATTGTTATTTGTAGAGACAGAGCTCAAGCCTTTAAAAGCTTATCTAAAAATGAAATTAAAGTTTAACTCAAACTTTAAACGGCGCCCGTGAAAATTTTCATAATTGTCCCATTTTATTCCTTAACGAATCTTACTTAGAAGTAATGTTTTTCTATATCTGGAAAATATCGTAGATGAAATTAGATAATTCAGAGCACTATGAACGTCAGTACTCTACAATGCTAGTAAAGTGCTGGGTGGCTTTTCAGGGCACGGACCTGCAACCTTTTGTTACAGTCCAGGACCTTACTCTTGACCACCTCAGCCTTTTAAAAGTTAATTTAACGAGAGCGAGAAAAACTTAGTAGCTAATTTAACAGTTAGATTTCGCTGTAAGCACAAGGGTACTTCAGAGACTTCAGGTCACGGAAATGCGATCTACCATCACAATCCAGGTCCACCCAGCTCTTATGACACCCCTGCCCTTACTGCACCGTAGTCTGAAAAACGAAAAATTCCCAAACGGTTGGACGAGTGTGAAGTTCGAAGAGATAGCAGAACGGCCGTCTACCACTACCAATTCGGATTTCCGTCACGTTCAGTGCCGCCTATTGGAATTTTTCGTTTCATAATACGTTTTTGTTATACAATGACATATTTGCCTGACATATATTTTTCTTTTCGTAAATATCCAACGAAAGACCAAAATCTCCTTGTAGACGTTCATAGTGCTTAACATTAAAAAATTAAATGCGAGCTTTCTGCTAATTTAGTTATTAATGAGCCCTTCTATTATTTAACACAAAGATATAGGCACAATCTGCCAACTATTTAGAGCCAGAGTAACTAATAAGATTTTTTCCCGTGAAACAAATAGAAATAAAACGACGCGTTGTTTCTTATTGTTGTCTTAATGTATTTAGAAGTTTTATGCGATCAAAATGAGTACAAAGAAGCAATGAAAGAGACCTGTGCTCACATTTGTCTCTGAAACCCGAACTATGTCACAATGACATGAAAATATCTTCGAGAGAAAAATTTTGAGAAGCATTCTGTGAGCCATAGAAGGTCTACCATTATTAGCAATATGATCAATTAAATGTTGAGAAACAGCCTCAGCCGTTAAGCTGTTCGACAGGTATAATTTTACAATTTTAGAGAAGTGATCTAAAATAGTGAATACATATCCAGTTTTTGATGGGGCCAACAATATCAAATGATATAAACTCATTGGGTACCTTTGGAATAGGTAAAGATTTAAAAGTAGGCTGGGGTATACCATAATTTTTGGTACGTAGACATACATCACAAGAAAGAACAAAATTTTTAGTGTCTGTATACATGTTTTTCTTGAAAAAATTATTAGTTATAAGTTCACAGGTTTTCTTCAGACCAAGATGAGTAATGTGAGCAGTCTTTAGTACCTTGGCTTGTAAACTTTGAGGTACCACAATACATTGAGATAAATTTTTATCATTGCAAACACGCACTAATAACTAGTATCTGAATCAATAATAAAATTTTTAGTTTTCTTAGCATTAATTAATGAAGGTGAGTTAATCATATCAACAATTTCTGAAATATTTGGATCCGTTTGTTGTTTATTAAAGAATGTAGTTACAGAAATTTCATTTTGAGGGTCAGTGTTTTGAATAGAATTTACAATTTGGTCATCAACATTAGCATCGACAAAAGGTAAAATTAACTCATTTTCTGACTTCTACTGAAGTAATCGGCTAATTGATTCGTTGGACCAGCTATATATTTTACTTCATATGTGAATTCTGACAGCTGTAGAAGCCAACGAGTTATATTATCAGCAGGGGACGTTACCTTTTTATAATGAATCAAAGGTTTGGAATCAGTGAGGATGGTGTTGGCATATAAACTTTTTATATGCCAAATAGTGTTTAAATGCCATTACTGATCTATAAATAGCATAAAGTTCGAATTTTAAGGGGGGATAATTACGTTCTGATTGGGATAAACCTTTACTAAAGTAAAGCATGGGTTTTAGTTGACCATTAAATCCTTGCATTAAAACACCTGAAATAGAACCACTGGCATCAGTATTAAGGATGAACTGCTTATCCCATTGGGGAAGATGCACAAAAGGCTCAGAGAGAAATATATTTTGTAATTGATTAAAGGCATGCTGATGCTCCTCTCTCTCCACTGAAATTTTGAGTTTTTAAGGGTTACTTGAATTAGCACATTGGTGAGTTTAGGATAATTAGGAATCGGGTGGCGGTAAAAACCACAAACACCAAGAAACTTTTCAGCATGTTGAGAATTTTTGAGGGCTTAAATTGAGTTATCTTTGCAATATTAGTCTTGATAGTTTTAATGACATTGCGAAAAATAACGTCTAACGAAATACGTCAAACGAAAAATTCCTAGAAAAAGTTATGGAATTACTTTTTAAACTTTAGTAGTTTTTAATCTACATATATCGTAATGATTTCAAAACAGACTACTTCAGAATAGGATGAGTGACGTAGTGCGGGTATATCGAACCAGATTGGTTATTAAAACGTGGCACTTGTTTACGTTAGCAACTGTTCTTTGCATTCTATTTAGAGTAAGCCAATCTTGTCAAGTATAAATTCACTTAAGTGATACATTCTATTATCCTTCACAAAGATTAGATCAAAATGACTTCAGTTCTTTACGGATATATTTCTTAACACAAAGACAGGCACGAAGCCACGTAGAACATGAATTACGCATCGAAGTTGCCAGGTTCACAAAACAAAAATTTATCAAGTTTTACTACAAAGTACATAAATAATAAAACTAAGAAATTATATTACCACAAATTCGATGTGCCATACGAGGCTGTAATTAATTAACCTTACATTACTTAACATTAACTTATGAAAGTAAATTTAGCTCAACTTGAAACGTTCAACATTACATAATGAAAACATTCCTTAATGAAAACGCTAACTTAATGAACATTCCTAAACGAATCCAAATCACCGCGGAGTTTTGATACGATATACCTTCAAGTACAGAAAAAAACTATTTCACCATTGACGCTATTAAGATAGTTTTGTCACTTTATCATTGATGACTACTTACACGTGTGGACAGATTCATAACACAGAAATTATTCTAATTTCTAGAAAGGCATAACACTTAACTAATGCAATGAACTGCAGCAAACTGCTTAAGCAAGCTAATCTGAATAGTTTTGCTACGCTAAGGGGTTAAATTTTCTTTGAGAAACACGTACAAATAAGAAATAACCTTTTCTTTGAGAAACACGTACATGTGAAATAACCTTTTCTTTGAGAAACATGCACATATGTGAAATAACCTTTTCTTTCAGAATGCACATATGTGAAATAACCTTTTCTTTCAGAAACCTGTACACATGTGAAATAACCTTTTCTTTCAGAAACCTGTACAAATGATTCCATCACTTGGTCATGTGTACAATTTACTTGAAGAAAATTTAGAGTTAAATACCTCATGAAAGACATTATTTACAACCTTTTTAAAATATTTTCAGTTGTATTACAAAAAGTTAGTGAAACACCAAAAATGTTATATTGTGGTTTTAAAGCGGTAATATAAAGTGGTTTTAAAGCGGATTATCCATTTAGGATTTATTTCAGAAGTAGCACATATTCATAAAGTTTTTTTTTTTTTAAAGGAGACATTTCATAGCTTCTAAACCAAGATTTCAGAAAATTAAATTTTCAATCATAATCAATGGATATTTTCTTACTGTACCGTAGAACACAGAAAAGTAACCAACTTTAAGAAAGAAAATTTGCTAGCTCTTAAGATTTACATTTAACAGATCTAATTTCATAAACTTACTGATAGAAGGACGCAAGTCATTTCTAATTTAAATGGGTATAAGTATTATAGTCTTTTAATAATGTTTACGGCTATGAATTTTCAGCTCCGTTGACTTGTAATTTCGAACCCAATCCAGAAGACAAGGTAACTATCAAGCATAATGAGAAATTTGCCTTCATGGAGGGTTTTTTGGAGGAAGGAGCTAGCCCCCATTTGCTTTACATGGAAAGGAAAATTACGAAAACCTTCGACAGTTAGCCTGATGTAAGGGGAACTCTAACCCATGATTCGTCTATCACTGAGAATATGTTATATCAGTCCTGGGTCGGACCAAACCGGGTGCGGAATTCGAATCAGACAGCTATCACTGTGACCAAACTCGGGTCACCTCATTAGGAAGAGAGCGCTTTATCCTCTGAGGCGCCAAAGCTCTGGTTATGATAAATAGTGAAAAATGACGCAGAGTTAACGTTAGTTTGGTTATCCCAAAATACTCCCTTAAATTTTTTTTATTAAATACAGAATGCGGCAGATACCTAGATCTGGCGCTCTTAATATCTCCCGTGAGTTCCCTGAACTTTAATTGCGAATCCCCACTCCGAAATTATTATAATTACTTTATTTAGATTTGCAGAGATTATTAAATAGAAATATTTTCTAAATTTTTGGAAAATTTAAGGAGCAAAGTTTCCGAATGCTCATTTAGAAATTTTATTAGCTTTTATTTAAAGGGCCCTGGTCAGCTTAATATTAAGACACACAGCTCTAATTGAAATTTGAGCATCCCAGGTGTTCGCAAAGTACTTATAACTTCAATTGACGATAATTCTCATTCAGAGACAAAAAGCTATGAAAATTTAGATTGCTCTAGTCGAAAAAAAAATTTTTGAAACTTCCGTTATCATGCAATGTAGTAAAATCATGCACTCTACATATTTCAGAAACTTGGTAAAAATGCAGATCAAAGATGAATTCTTTCGTTAAATGAAGGCGATAAATTCGTTAAATTAGGGCGAACCCCACTGCATTGTCATCTGTTACGGACCTAAAAGGTAACAGTGCTCTAACTAATTAAAACGGATTTGTAGGCGTAAAAATGTAGTAAAATGGCTTTGAGAGATTAATATTACTGCGATAGTTTTTTCAATTTTATATATCTTGAATGTTCAAAGTTTGTCTTAAGAAATGTTTCAGGAAACCAATTTCTGAGAGAGAGGGTTTCTATTAATTTCTCGAAACTTTGAATAGGATTTAGTTTGAAGTTTCAACAGTGTGATTTTACAAAAACAGTAGCGAGAAAACATTGAATGATAATTATAAACAATTTCGTGCAACTTCGATACTCATTAAACAAACAGTAGTATTTAGGGAAAATTTCTTTTAATATTTTTATATTTACATAAACAACTCGAAGATTTGAGACAAATGCGAAAAGTGAAAAATTTATAGTAAAAGGAGGTAATAAAAATTTAATTTTCTACAGTTATGTTTATGCTGGTTCTTTTATTTTAATCTAGTTACAACAGTTATGGAATATAGAATAATTATAGCAAAGGAACACAAGTTTCGCTACACGGAATTGTATTTAAACGTTATAAAAACATTTCATTACAAGTTTAAAAACCAAATATGAAATTAAATTTCTGTCCAATTTAAATGTCGTAATTAAAGATTTTTCACAGGTGATTTAATTGTAAAAAGTTGTTAAACGGGAATATTTGGTCCCCGCAGGAAGCTAGTAGACCCACGAACCGGGTTTGTTTACGGCAAGCTTTTGATAAATACGGCTTTAACAGGTATTTGACGTCTCCAACGTAACAAACAATACCAGGCAGGGGAACCAGCCACCACAAAGAAGTAATGTGCATTCAATTTCCCTGTGCAGTCAATGCCCAATTCTTCAACCCTACAGATGCACTAAAGCCTGTTTGATTGGCATAACAAGTTTAACTGGTAGTAAAATTTAATAATTTTCTTTAAGATGAAGTACATAGATTCATGGAATTTAACCACTGTAACTGAACGTCTGTCTAGAACAAATTATCCTAGACAAACTTATTATTTTAAGCCTGTTCTCTGTTAACCGTTTGAGTGCGGCGAAGCACTATTGCGCTTCGCTTGTTATTTGTCAAAAAGGAGGAGACGCTGCTGTTGGTTAGCATAGGTTGGTTAGTAGTTGGTTGGTAGTAGTTAGTAGTTGGTTAGTTGTGTTGTACGCATTTCATTCCGCACTATTAGCATAGATATAAGAAAACTCTTCAGCACTCAAACGGTTAAAATACTATTTCTTAAAATAAAAATTTCGCAATTAAAATTTAAAAAAATTTCTGCTTTTGTTATATATTTCTAAAGTTTTTCATTGTGAATATTACTTTATAATTTTTAAAACTTTCTCACTCAAATTTGTAAATACATTATATAATATATGAATACATTATTCGAACATAAATATTTTGAATATTTAAAACCGAATAAACTAAATTGATAACGCACTCACTGGGGGATTAGCCGTATTTATCATAATTTTTGGATATTAATCCAGCTTTAACCTTTTACATGGCCTGAGAAAACTTCATTAATTTTTAAATGCCGATAGAAAGCTGTTTTCATACTAATTATACGTGCAACTAGATGCAGATACCTTTAAAAAATACAAATATTAAGTGCTTTTAGATAAATGTGAGTAGCAGTAAAGGTAAGCGTGGGGTCAAAAAAGGGAGGCTAATTCTGAAGAGCTATTTTACTAGTGCGTTACGTATTGATTTGAACCTTACCCACTTAAATTATTTGTGCATGATTTTAATCATTTAAATACAGAAGTTCATATTTAAGGTAAATTCCTTACAGTAAATAAATTTTTAAGATCACCTTATCCACAGAAAATTGTTTAACAATTGTTTAACTTAAGAAATACGTAAGATTTTAGAAATTAATCACAATCCGAGAATTATTTTAACAATAATTACTGTTAAAGATTTCCCTATGAAAGGTTATAGTATCAAGAGGTTTCCTCAGTAGAGAAAAGAAATTAAATTAAATCGAAAAATCATAAAATTCGCTATACGCTCGCTTAGCAGGCAAACAAAGTATTGGAGATTCCCTTTTCTCAAAATTTTATTATTGAATATTAAATCAGAATATGAATTACGGTTGAGAAAAGTGAGGAAATTTTGAAAATCAGTTACGTAAAATATAAATATTTAAATTAACATATCGCAGAGCCACAGAGTATCACATATTTTCTGATTAAGAAAAATCAGTTTCAGCAATTTGCGTAATTCTAAAATTAGGCAATTGTATAGTCATTGCTCAAATATTACCGATATATTTCCTTGACTTACCCTAAACCTTTTCATTTTATAATTAATTCATATGTTTCTAATTTCATTTTTACTTGATCCTTTATCTTTTTTTACAGTACTGTCTAGACTAGTAAAATTCATACAAGGAGTTTTAAAAAAAATAGATCAACGATTTAAGTTAACTGCAAAATTGTTTCTGGATTTACGAAATAAATTATGCCTGCAGATTAGACATTTTTACAGTGCTTTTTAATGTCTTGTATGCTTAAATCTGTTGCCCCAAAAGTAAACATTCCATAATTTCTAATGCCCTATAATAGCTGGATGATAAAAGTAGGACTAGTTATGAAGAGTGTCTCGTAATTCCAGAACAATGTGGAACTATGTAAAATAGTTTCAAAATTCGAGTCGATCAAAATGTCATTGAAAGCCTAGAATATTCAAATTTCAAGTGGAGCTCTACGCGCTTAATTAACAAAGAACCAACTATTTCTTAAGACAGCAATTTTTACATAAGAGTAAAATTCATTTCACTGGTTTAGCATTAGCCACTGTTACAAGTTCAACTAATGACAATTGAGTTCTCTTCGAATATTTAAAATATATCGGCCATGTTTATTGTTTATTCAAAAACGTAGTTAATTATCCGTTCTTCAACTATTAATTTTGATCCATTCGAACGAGAGATTAAGGAATCGAAACAATTTCGAAACTTGCTGAATCCACCACCTTATAGTATATTTCTAAAAGACCAGCTTAAAAGCAGTGATGATTGAATTCTAAAGATGACTTCTATAGTAACAAGCAAAAAATCAGGGAAAGATACTTTGTTACGGTGATCAAAATATCAGCTCAGGGGATAGAGCGTTAGCCTTCTAATGAGGTGAATCGGGTTCGAATCCCAACGATGGCTCCTTGATACGAATTCCGCACACGGCTTGCACAGACTTTAAGCCTTTCAACCAAACTGCTCTAAAATTACTTTCTTTAAAGTAAATTATTACATATAGAAATTAAGATTGTCTTATTTGACTCAATATCTTGTCATAAATGAAGTCTTTCCTGAATCAAGAATAAATAAACAGAGGGTCTTTAAATTGTTGTATAGTTATGATATGAGAATGTCAAAGTAGATTGTTACCGCTTAAATTATACAAACATTATATTTTTTACTTTACAAATTCTAAGAAGTTTTCCTCTATCGAAATTGTGTTAACCTAATAAATTAACTTTAACTGCTACACAATTTTAACCCTTCAAGCCCAAAACTGGAATTTGCTAACATGCATAAAGGAATTTATCGCTTGGGACGTAACATTTACAAAAAAAGTGTCAAAGCTAAGTACGATTGTTTGGACGTAAATATTATTGGGACAAAAACTGCAAAAGGGAATCATTACATCAAATTTAATCCTAGATATCAGTCTCAAAAAAGGTAAAAAAGAATAAATTAAGGTATAAAGCTAACACCAACAATCTCCACATCATTACACACATACAAAAAGAAAATGCTTGAAACTCATGAATTGTGCAGTTACTTAAAGGTTTTAAAAACTGAACAATAAGGTACAAAAGCCTGTTGCAATATTAAATATTACTGCCACATGCTTGATAAAGACTCCATAAATTTGAAATAATTAAAATGCTATATCCTACTCACAGAAGAGGGGAAAAAAATTCAGATAAATAAACTTAAACTTTTAGAACCAGATAAGAATTATAAACCAAGTTTAAAATTAAGAAACCAAAAACTAAGAAATAAAAAGGTGCTTCAAAAAGTCCGATTATATAGAGAATGACAATACACAAAAACTTATGAAGCAGCTAAATTTATTCACACCTCATCATCACTCCTGCGTTTTTTTAAATCGTATATTCAAAGTTAAACATGCGCGAAATAGTGTTCGAAGATTTTCGCGAGAAAACGTGAGACCAGACTTGGTGAATTTCAAAATACGGTAACAGTCTATCGTTACAGGTTTTGTAATTTGTGACCAATATATAGTTAAGTAATCAAAGAACTTGCACAATATAATATGGACGAAGACTTCCCGTGTAGTAAATGGTGACTGATGCACGTTAAATCTGTCGAGTCTCAAAGTCCTCCATGTTCCCACAACAAATCAATACCTCTGGGGGTACTGATCCAGGAGTTTCCTTGTCTTCTGGATTGGTTCAAAATTACAAGGCTACGGAGTTGAACGTAAGTAGTCGTAAACCCATGAAATTGGGTCGGCTGTTCAACGACGGTTATAAAATAAAATATAATATGGAGTTTAAGTCAGTCCTTACCGGAGTTTACCTTAAGCTACTTTTTAAACTTGCAAAGTCGATACCCATCATCGTACAAAAAAAATCACTCGAAAAATCTATTTTCGACCATTGTATATTAAATGATAAAAAAGCATAAATTTAAATCATATCTGAAATGTCTAAAGAGAAATTTCATGAATCACTAAAAATAGGGAGATTTGTATTAGGGAGGTATCAAAACAAATTTTAGCCTCCAATCCAAAGTATTTCAGATAGTTTTGGAGAGACGTACGGGAACTTAATCTTTGGTTTAACATTACAGACTTATAACTTCACGCGATTGAATTTCCCTGACATTTGAAAAAAATCTGTTTTCAGCTTAGTTTAGTTAAAATAGTTAATTGCCCGTCTTTTAACTATTTTATCCTTTGTCAGGAAAATGAATGTGGAATTACGTAACCAAAACTTAGCTTTCCATGACAATTCGGTACTTGCACATCATGATCACGGATACGGGCACATGTGACCTTTTACATCAGCGGCAGCTGATCATGAAAACACAAAATGGCTTGTTAAAGTTGACAGTTTCTCCGAACAAATTCGAATGTCAATTGACGTAGAGTTAGTTAAATGCAGTGCAGTATCGATCATTGAAATCTTTGAAGCACAATTCTTTCTAGTCTACGTCTGTTACCTAACTTAGATTAGATATATTATTTGTTTGTGCATTTTACCGCAACCGTGATCCATTTTTGTTTTGTCTCATTTGATATTTTGACGCATATTCATTTAATGTTTTTCATGGCTTCGTGCCTGCCTTTGCGTTAAGTCTCCGTGTAAGTATGTATTGAAAAACTTTAAATATTTAAGAATCTTTATGAAAGAATTTAGAATGCGTCACTTAAGAGAAATGATCCATCGTGGGTTTGGCTTACTCTGAATAGAATGGAAAGAACAGTTTCTGACGTAAACAAATGTCACGCTTAAATAACAATCAGGATAAAGACACCCGCACTATTTCGTGAAAATATATATTAAACATTTTATTAAACAAGTTTAAGTTTATAACTTTGAAACTTTTTTTGAAGGAAACGAGATTGCGGACATTATGGCTAAAACTGGTGCTTGCGAGGCCTCTGTCATCGGCACCACTCACCTTTTTGGAAATCTTCTCAAAAGTAAAACACTAAATCAAGACCACTTGGAATGTCCCCCCAAAGCACCCATCAGCATCAAGGGGGGGGGGCATCAGTGTTCCAGACCTGGAGGCTCCCTGACCCAAGGTTTTAATAGACAGGAACAAAGTATTCTTGCCCGCTTTCGAAGTGGTCACCTTAAACCAATTAAATGTTCGGAAGGATCCAAGAACTTTGAAACTTGTACCAACTGTTCTTCAGACTAGGCTTCGCCTCACCAAACAGGATTTAGCAGATGATCCATTGACGGTGTTGGATTTTTTGAGGGTGTATAACGTCATGGACCTGGTCCAGCACTCCTGGCCAATGGGGGCGTGCGACAACAACAAATTTATAACTAAATAATGTAAATATGTGTATAAAAATATTTAATAAAATTTTTTTTTTAACAAATAAGTAAAATATTTTGACCTGTTTTAGTGAAGCCTTCAACTAATCCGGTACCATCAATTCTATCTGGAACGCTGCCGGGATTGGTTGACTCCAACTATTGTGTTCCATCTAACTTGTTGTCTGTATTCCAACTACATATTTCTCTGGAATTCCTGTTGAAATTGACAAAAAT